GAAGTTATTGGTTGGTTTTTCTGAATATCAAGAATTAAAAAAGTTTTGGAAGTAAAAAACATTAAAAATAGGCTTTTCTGTGAAAAAAAACATTATAATAATTTGCTATGAAAAACAGCAACGAAAAAGAAATCAAAATAAGTAATCAGCAATTAATTACTTTTCTCAGTAAAGAATTAAATTGTCAGCATAAGAAAAGGGAGGAGAAAATTGCGGAGATACTTGCTTTTTGCCTTGATTATTTAAACCAATTTGAAAAAGAGGATTGAAAGAAAAAAAGAAACAATGCTTTATTACTCCTTACCATGGCTGAAACTGAATGAAAAAACACCAAAAAACAGGTGTTTGAAAGTTATATCAACAGGGAGATAATAAAAAGCATGAAATTCTAATGAAAAGAAAAAAAGTAATTGGGGCAATCACCAGCAAAGAGTATCAAAAATCGAGCGATAATTTTAAGTTAAAAGTAATTACTTCTGACAAACAAAAATTTTTCTTTTATTCACAGCAAAAGCACCAAGGACAAAGCCAAGAAATAGCAGTAGGTGAAAAATATTCATTTTGTCTATTTAAGGATAAAAAGTATTGGTTTTTAGAGAGTTGAGAAAAAGCGAGAGAAATAAGCCAAGAAAACCCTAATTGATTAAGCAAATGAAAAGCAGAATTATCAGAGTTCAACTTAAAGAAATTACAAGAACAAGCCGGAAAGAAATCTGAAAGTTTGGAAAAGCGAATAATTTGTCTTAAAGAACAGATGATTAAGACCAGCAATGAAGAGGAGGTTTTTTTAGAGTATTTGGAGCAATTTGTCAATCTACTTTTAATCAAACATTTAAGCATTAAAAATAGGCGAGAAAGCCAGTTAACAGAGAAAGAAAAAAAGGAGCAAGCAATTTTAAATAAAATCGTCGCTAATTGGTTTTACAAGACTTAAAGGGGATAACAGGGGTTCAATAGGGAGGAAAAAGAGGAGGAGGAACAGGAGGAGTAATAGGAGGGTAAGACTAATAGAGCATGGAACAGGAAATCCTTACAAAAGAAACAGGGATATCCGAACAGTCGCTAACGCTCCTGTTCTCCTGTTCCCTGTTCCAAAAAGTAATGGTTTAAAATGGGGGAAATGGGTGTGGAGACAATAGGCGGAAACTCTTTCAAATCTCATTCAAAAATATATATATATGATAAATTATAGTCAAGGGCTAATCAGAAAAGAAAA